TGCTAGGAAGAGTCGTAGATGGTGTTGATGTAGGTACTTGGGGTCTTGTAGCTGTTGATTGCTGCTGCATGGGATGATGATGAGCTTCTGTAGTTGCCTCTGGAGTGATGGCTGGTGATGGGTTTGATGGCGTAGTGGTGGGCTGATCCGGTTGGCGTTGAAATTGTGAGGTTGGTGTTGATATAGCTGGCTGGTTTGTGACTGTTGGCTGCTGCTCCTTTGGTGGTGATGGAACGGTGACTTGCTGCGGTGGATTGTCTTCATTTGATGGCTGAACTTCATCTCCACTTGGTTGAGTAGCTGCTGGTGGCACTGGCGTGGCACGGTTGGACTCGTTGACGACGGCTTGAGGGAGATCGATGATCGGTCCGCTATGGTCAGAATCGGTGTCATCTTCTTCCTCCTCTTGTGTTGTTTCCTCAGGTGCGCTTGCTGGTTCCTGTTGGATAGAGGGTAGAGAGGAGGAAGAGGAAAACTTATGCCAACCTGCAAGGGACATGTCTTCATAGAAGACAACATCCCTTGAAACCACTTCTCGCTTGGTGACAGGATCCCAAAGGACCCATCCCTTGCTCTCATTGCTCATGCCGATGAAGAGGCCCCAATGAGCTTTGCTGTCCAGCTTGAGTCTCTTTGCATCTGGAACACGGTATTGGGCCATGGAACCAAAAACACGAAGCATAGACAGATCTGGTTTAACTCCAAACCAAGCCTCATATGGCGTTACACCTTCCGGTAAGGGCCTTGTGGGTCTCCTGTTGCGAACATAAATTGCCATAGTGATTGCCTCACCCCACCAGAGCTTGTCAAGGCCTTTGAACTGAAGGAAAGTGGTAGCTATAGCCTGGATAGTGCGATGAAACCTCTCTGCCACTCCATTTTGCTGAGGACTATAGGGACAAGTGAACTGTTGTTTGATGCCCAATGCCAACAACTCCCCCTGAAACGCTTTCCCCATGTACTCACCTCCTCGATCCGACCTCAAGGTGAGTAACTTCTTCCCTGACTCTCTCTCAACAAGTGCTAGCCATTGCTTGAAACACTTGTGAACTTCATCCTTGGTGTTGATGAAAAAGGACCACGAGAAACGACTCTTGTCATCAATGAAAGACACCAAATATCTCTTACCGTTTCGAGTAGGGTCTCGCATGGGGCCGAAGACATCAGTGTGGACCAACTCTAGGAGGTCCCTTGACTGAGACTTAGAAGGGAAGAATGGCTTTCTAGCTAGTTTACCTTCCACACAAGATGGACATGAAACGGAAGAAAGGGACTTGACTGCACTTTCATTCAAACTCAATCAAAGTGTGATTTACCAACTCTTTCAATGCTTGCACTCCCACGTGCCCCAAGCGTGCATGCCATACCTCAGCTTGGGAGATACTCCCTTTGTTGTTGACTTGATCGGTTGAAACAGCGGGAAGCGAGACAACGTCGTTCTTCGTGTTGCTAGCACCGCGCTTAATCTCCAACTTCATCTTGTAGAGCCGCCCGGTACGCTCGCCTTCAGCCACCAGATTTCCTGCACTGTCCCACACTTTGGCTTTCCCCCCTTGCAAGAGAACGGAGGCACCTTTCTCTTCGAGTTGTCCGGCTGAGAGCAAGTTTGCTCCCAAATCAGGAACAAACAAAGCTTTATTGACACAAAATGACTTACCATCCTTTTCGAACTCAAGCTTGCCGACTCCTTTGATTGGTACTTTGCCAAGATCAGCAAGAGTCACAGCTTTTGAGTCACATGAGGGCTGAAAATCCTTGAGAATGGACTGATAGGGAGTCATGGTTTCAGAGCAGCCACTATCAAGAATAAACTCCTCACTACTAGTAGAGAAAACGTGCATGCAAGTAGCAGCGTTAAAAAGGACAGGACCATCGGACTCTTTGGACTCATCTTGACTTGTAGAATGACTTGCTATATTTGCTATGGCTGCCTTACCTTTTTCAGATAGTAGCTGAGGTGGGGGGACCCAATTAGGAGGCTTCTTAGGACAAGCATACCACGGGTGACCCCACTCATGACAACAAAAACACTCAAAATTAAACTTTTTAGCATTCGGGGCTTGGCTGAAATTATTGACTCTTAGCATATTGACTCTTGCATTCCTAGGCTGGTATTGATTGGGAATCGAAGGCCTCGGCTGGACATAGTGAGTGGACTTATAGGGAGGACTTGACTGAGGAAAACGAGAGGGTTTGTATGGGTTGGAAGGTGACTGAAATTTCGTACCGTAGTAGGGTTGAGGGCGGTTTGGGCTGAAATTTCCTTGCCTCTGGAATTGGTTGCCATATCTTGTGGCTGCTGCAGCACTCCACGCACCTTCGTCACTCCGCTTGTTCCGTGCAAGGTCTCGACTCTGCTGCTCGTTGACAAGGGCCTCAAAGATGAACGCACGACTCTTCATTGACTGCGGGAGCGCTTGTAGTGTTGCACGGAAAGTGTCCCACTCCGGTGTAAGGCCAGTGAGGATGACGGTCTTGAAAAGAGACTCTGGAATCTCCAAGCCGATCGCTGCTGCTTCCTCCAGCATTGCTTCAGCTCGTTGTAGGTAGGCTTGTGCTGATTCATCTTCTTCCATCTTCAGATTCATGAAGCGGCTCCACATCTCGGCTTGGCTGCTCTCGGATTTTGACTGGTGCATAGTCTTCAGTCGGCTCCATGCTTCCTCTGCACTGTTTGCCTTGGTAGAACAGGGCAGGAGCGACTTCAACTGCTGCTCGTGAATGCTATTGAGTAGGTAGAGGAAGGCCTCCTTGTTGCGTCGTTCGTAAAGTCGTTTTTCAGCTTCTGAAGCATCTGCTGCTGGTTTGGCTGCTTCTCCAGTGTAGTAAGGCCACAGATCCAGAAGGGATGCAGTGAGCTCAAACTGAGTTGCCCATGTTGGAAAATCTTTGCCGTTGAACTTGGGGAGGTGAAGCTTAGGCATGAAGGAGGTGAGTGGTGAGTATGTTGTTGAAGGACTGCCTGGTGCAACTGCTTCCACTAATCCAGTAGCTGCTGATGTTGACTCTGAAGCTCCTCCGGCTGGCTGGAGTGCAGGACCAGATGGATTGTCTCCCGCCATGTTCGTATGGTGCTAGGATAGGAACGTGGTGGGCTAGGTTGATCGAAACGACAAGCTCTGATACCAACTTGTAAAACAGAGTAGCTGTGACTACTGGAGGGCTGGAAACTTGGCTGGAAAGTCTTAGCAGGGCTGCTGGAATTGACTGGATGAGGTAAAACTTCACTATGTTCAAGATTAACAAGCCCACTAAAGCACAACTCTAGGCATCACAAACAAGACAGATTGAAAGCTCAAACTAGGCTGATAGACAATGTAACTTCCCTGGTAACTTGGGCACAATCTAGATTGGATGGACCTTGAGTGACTTTGAGTGCCACATGAGGTGCATGAATAAGAAAACTCTGGATATTTCTGTTATAGCTGATTCTGATGTGTAGAAACCTGTAGAAACTGCCAACACTTCGGTTTGAAGGCAGCTTTGAACTATATCGAGTCTTCGGCTGAAATCTGATTGGTGGTGGAACTTTCGAAGTACTTCCCGAAGCTCTGATTCATCGCCGACATTCCCCCTTGCTGCTGCTTGTGTGCAAAGGGCTGGGGCGGCAGAAACTCGATTCTCCAACAGGTTGTTCACCACTGCGGCGCTTGCGGTATTTTTTTTCTTGTGTGAGACTTGCAGTATTGCCTTCTTGTCTGAGAATTCTTCCATTTCAGCTTAGTAGTAAATGTGTTAGCTGTCTGCATTCATATCGTTGACACCAGCATGCGCGCCAAAGCGCGTCAATTCCGTATCTATTGACTTTTACAACTTGAGAAGCATTGACAAGTTACTAACCTCGCCACGTCAACGCTCTGTGATGAGGTGACAAACGATTAGGAAGTGCTTGTCGTTTAGTGTCTATCCATGACGCGATCCGTCTCGAGATCACCCCCCAGCAGACGCCGGAAATCGCGCACCGCCTCCCGAACCCCTCCTCGCCGCAAATCGCGCTCCCCCGCCGGAATTCCCGCAACCCGGCGATCCCGGTCGCGATCCCTAACCCCCCCGCGATCGTCGGCGCGGCGCAGTCGGAAGGACGAGCGCAGTCCGTCTCCCGCGCGCAGGTGCTTAGTTCCGCGCGCAGGTGATTATTTTTGCGTGCAGGTGATTAGCACAGACCGCAGGTTAACATTTTTTTTCGCAAGGTATTCGTTCCTATTGCTGGTGATCAGCTCGTATCGCGGCTGAGTTCTCCTCACATATCTCACCTCATAATCCCTCATTCTCGCCTCACACTCACCTCATTACTCCTTCTAACTCCCTCATATTCACCTCCTAATTCCCCGTATTCACCTCATATCTTCCTCCACTCGTCTCGCACCCTCCAGGCGAAGCCACAGCCCCTCCCTTTCCCGCTCCTCTATCTCCTCCAGCTCTCGCTCCCCCTCACCCTCCGATGCCTCTGAGAAAGACCGCGGGGAAAGACGGAGAGAGGGGAGAGACGTGAAGGAGAGTAAAGAGAAGAGGGAGAAGAGGGATAAGAAGGAGGGGGTGAAGGATAAGGAGAAGGAGAAGAAGGAGAGGGAGCGGAGGAGGGCGGAGCGGGAGGAGGATAGGGCGAGGGAGGAGGAGGAAGAGGCGGAGAGGGAGAGGGAACGGGAGAGGCAAAAGGCGAGGGAGAGGTGGAGGAGGCTAGCTGAGGAGGAGGAAACAAGGCGGTATGTTCTTTCTTTTCTTCATTTTTCATTTTTCTTTTCTTCCTGCAGCCAGCAAGAGTGAACAAAGGATGAGAGATGGGCAAGAGGAAATTTGGGAAAGGGGGGGGGGGGGTTCAGGGAGGAGACGAGAGAGGGAGGCCAGTAAAGCACACAGATAACACAGTGGACGGGATAACACAGCCGCAACGGTTGAAGGAAGCCTAAAGCTCTGTTTCTCCCATGTACTCCGTATTTAGCCATGTTACCGCCTCAAGTTTTCTCCCCATTTTCTATTCCTGATCGTACCCATCCCTACCCATGCGTACCTCTTTCCACCGGTCCAGAAAGGAGCAGGAGGAGGAGGAGAGGAGGGAGGAGGAGGAGATGGCAGTGAGAGTGGAGGCGGCAATAAGGGAGAGGGTAGACGCGGAGCTGGCGTGTGAGCGGGTGCAGCAGCAGGTGGCAGCGATGGTGGCGGCAGGCAGGCAGAAGCTGAGGGAGGAGGTGCAGGCGCAGTTGGAGAGAGAGAGACTTGCGCTGCTGGCCGAAGCGCGAAGGAAAGAGGTGAGTGAGGAAGTGATTGAGGAAGTGAGGGAGTGAGTGAGGGAGGGAGTGAGGGAGTTGGCGTGTGAGGGGGTGCAACAGCAGGTGGCAGCGGTGGAGGCGGTGGGCTTTCAGAAGCTGAGGGAGGAGGTGCGGGCTCAATTGGGGAGAGAAATACTGGCGCTGGAGAGAGGGAGAGAGGAGCGAGAGATGGAGTGATTGAGGGAATGAGCGAAAGGGGGAGTAAGTGAGGGAGTGAGGTAGGGAGTGAGGTAGGGAGTCAGAAAGTAATTGTGTTTCTGTAATTCTCTGTGAGAACCTTAAGAGCAGAACAGAAAGTGGCGCGGGGAGTTGGATGGACACGTCTGTTTCCTTTTCCCCTTCCTTTGATTTGTTTGTTTTGTTTGATTTTTGTTTTTCCATTTTTTCTTCCTTTTCGCATGTCGGGTAATCCCACAGGAGCAAAAGCGTAGGGAGCAGGAGGAGCTGGAGCGGATGTTGGCGGAGAATCAGAGGAAGGTGGAGGAGGCACAGAGGAGAGCAGCGGAGGAGCGAGCCAGGGAGGAGGGGCTGAGACACAAGGAGCGAGAGGCAGCCAGTGCGGTGGGGTGGCGGGTGTAGTGGTGTCTGCAAGGGAGTGGGGGGGTTTATTTCATGGAGGCATGGAGGGGAGCAGCGGAGGGGAGGGCGAGGGAGGAGGCGCTGAGACACAAGGAGTGAGAGGCGGTCAGTGCTGTGGTGTGGGGTGTGTGGTGTGGGTGTAGTGGGGAAGTGAAGGAGTTAAATGCATGGAGACATGGAGGAGAGCAACGGAGGGGAAGGTAAGGGAAAGGGGCCTGGGGCACAAGGAGCAAGAGGCCATGTGTGGGGCTTTAGTGGGTGAGAGGAGTCAGATATGCATGGATTCATGCATCAATCAGTGTAAACAGTAGATCAAAACTGAAAGATTCTGTGTGGGTATGTGTGAAAATCCCAACCACTAGACCATTGGGTTAAAAAAAGCTTGTTAAGTAGTGGGTCAGTGCGCCCAGAACCTCCCAGGACAACGAAACTGTAGCCCTTCTTTAATATCAATCGAGGATCACCCGTGGACATCTGACACCCCTCCGCACTGGGATGCCCGAAGTGCACATACTGGGATTCGAACCCGAAACATTCGCTCTGATACCATATCAGAATCCTAACCACTAGACCATTGGGATAAAAAGACTTGTTAAGTAGTGGGTCAGTGCGCCCATAACCCCTCAGGACAACGAGCCTATAACCATTTTTCTTATGATCAATCGGGGATCACCAGTGGACCTCTGACAGTATCTACACTAAGACCTGATCATCCAGGCTTAGCATAAAGCGACTTCTCCCATAGGATCCTGATTCTTATGCAAGTAGTGTACAAATTCCTACTTCAAACCAAAAATGCATAAAAATGAAACACTAAATAAGACAAGGTTGGCCGTTTTTAGCTCCTTGCGAACCAGGTGGTCATGCATGCGATGTTGGGTAGAAAACTAATGAAAATTGTGCGAGGTTTATGAGCTGGATTGCACAGCATTCATTACCTAGTTGAATCCTTCTGCGATCCAAAATTTATCGTCCCTAGGATCACCCCAGGAAGGTACGCACACGATTGAGTGGTAGTGGTGGGCCCTTGACCTTAATAGCAGATGTCAGAGGTCCACTGGTGATCCCCGATTGATCTTAGGGAAGGGTTACAAGCTCGTTGTCCTGGGGGATTTTGGGCGCACTTACCCGCTACTTAACAAACCCTTTTATCCCAATGGTCTAGTGCTTGGGATTCTGACATGATTTAAGAGCATGTCCTTCCTTATGACCAATTTTTTTATAGGGCCGACCACAGCGCTGCCCCACTAACTGCCCTACCTTGCGCGCCGCCCTGCTTGCCCGTCGCGCCGCCCTTTTGCAGCCCGCGCGCTGCCCTTAGCAGCCCGTCGCGCCGCCCTTAGCAGCCCGCGAACCACCCTTGCAGCCAGCGCGCCGCCCCTGCAGCCCGCTCGCCGCCCGCTCGCAGCCCGCGCACCGCCGTTTGCAGCCCGCTCGCGGCCCGCGCGCCGTCCCTGCAGCCCGCTCGCTGCCATTGCAGCCCGCTCGCCGCCATTGCAGCCCGCTCGCCGCCCGTTCGCGGCCCGCGCCCCGCCCATGCAGGCCGCTTGCTGCCTGCTTGCGGCCCGCTCGCCGCTCGCTTGCGGCCCGCGCACCGCCCCTGCAGCCCGCTCGACGCCCGCCTGCGGCCCACTAGCTGCCCTTGCGGCCCGCTCGCCGCCCTAGCAGCCTGCTCGCCATCCTCTTGCGGCCCGTGCGCCGCCCCTTGCAGCCCGCCCGCCGCCCCTTGCGGCCCGCGCGCCGCCCCTTGCAGCCCGCTCGCCGCCCCTTGCGGCCGGCTCACCGCCTTTTGCGGCCCGCTCGCCGCCCCTTGCGGCCCGCTCGCCGCCCCTTGCAGCCCGCTCGCCGCCCCTTGCGGCTGCTCGCCGCCCCTTGCAGCCCGCTTGCCGCCCTCTAGCACCCCACTCGCCGCCCCTGCAGCCCGCGCGCTGCCCTCTGGCAGCCCGCTCGCCGCCCTTTCTGCTGGCCGCCCTAGCCGTACGCCGCCCTGCCCTCCCCTGCGCACTTCCTTCGGGCTCGCGCACCGCCCTACCTGTGTGCTGCTTTGTTGGTTGCGCGCCGCACTGTTCTGCCCGCTATGGCTTCTCTCAGTGTACTCACGTTCGATCATGAGGGCCGTCCGATCCAGTTCGATACGTGGCTCGATGATTTACAGCTGTACCTACTGAGCGATTCTAGAGACAGCGTTTCGTTGTTTGACCACACGTGTGGAGCCTCTCTCGCCCCTCCCGCCACACCTGACAGCGCGACTCGCTCACAGTGGCTTACCCGTGACGCTGCTGCTCGCTTAGCCGTTCGCAACCACCTACCGTTAGCCGAACGCGCCTACATCAGACAGCACAAGACTGCTAAAGCACTGTACGATGCTGTAGTCGCCCGTTACTCCTCCCTTGCCACTGCTACTGTAGGCCGTTCTACTGCCCTCTCTCCCGAGCTGTCCGCCTTTGCCATGGTAGAGGACCTCGTTACCCACCTTCGCACTAGCGACGCTCGCTACCGCGCTGCCTTTTCAGCAGAGTTCCTTGACAGGAACCCGCCCCCAATGTACATCACTCTCTACTTCATAGTCACCCGCCTCCCTGACTCTCTTCGCGCTGTCAGGGACCACTTTCTCGCACTTTACCCCACAGCCCTCACTGTCGACCTATTCGAGCAGCACCTCCTTGCAGCTGAGACTAGCATAGTCGCTGTAGGTGCCGCTCGTGGCACTCCTCGCACGCCCTTCTTTGAAAATTGTTCCCCCTCCCCCCTTGCCCCTTCCTACGCCTTTGCTGCTCCTGTTGACATCCTTGGTGCTGCGGATGTCGCGGCTGCTTCTCCTGTTAGTGGGAATCGCCGCAGCAGCAAGGGCAAGGCTGGCAGGGGTGGTGGCGCTGGCAACGGGGGTGGTAGTGGGGGCGGCAGTGGAGGTGGTGGAGGTAGCGGAGGTGGTGGCAGCGGTGGGAGTGGTGGCGGGAGTGGGGGCTTTGGTGGCGGTAGTGCTGGAGGTGGTGGGGGTGGCGGTAGTGGCAGCAGTGAGAGTGGTGGCAGTTAGGGTGGAGCTGTTGAGAGGGGAGGTTCTGGCAGTGGCCAGAGGCAGCAGCAGCAGCGTTGGAACGATACCCCTTCGCCCCAGCAGCTTCGTAAGTTGTTTGCTCAGGGTGGGATGTCTGGGGATAGTGTTAGCTGCCCGTATGTCATTCGCATGGGTGACCGTGCTGGTCAGACATGCGGGAAGCCTCACACTCAGCACCGCTGCTTCTCCCGCCTAGATGTTGCTTGGCGCGCAGAGTTTGGTGACGAGGCTGAGCGCCCCCGCTGGGCAGAGCTGCTTAGGTCTGGAGTTGATATCTTTGCTCTTGACTATGATGCTATCATTGCTGCTATGTATGCCTTGTCTGTTAGTGCTGAGCGTGACTATTACCTGTGTGTGCCGCCCGACCCAGGTATAGAGGTTGCTGCTCTAGATGCTATTGAGTCTGCTCTCCCTGGTACTGCGCCTGCTGAGGCATTGCACACCTTTACGCTTGACTCAGGTACTTCCCGCTGTTTCTTTCGCGACAGTACCGCCCTCACTCCACTCCCTACACCTGTTGTGGTCAGACTGGCTGACCCCTCAGGGGGCCCAGTTCTTACCCATTCCTGCACTGTTCTCCCGTGTCCGGCGGTTCCGTCCGGCTAACTGTCAGGTCTTCACCTCCCCTCGTTCTCTACGAACTTGGTGAGTACCGCTGCCTTCCATGATGCGATGGTCACTACCACCACTCCTGAGGGTTAGCGTATGTCGATCTGCACGTGTACAAGGACGGGCCGTCACCTGGCCACGTTCACCCGTCGGCATGGGTCGAGTCTATACACACTGACTACCGAGCCTCCTCAGGTAGTTGCGTCTGCTCAGGTGTCCGCTTCAGGCCCGGTAATCTCATGTACCAGCAATGTGTTTCAGCTCCCGAAAAATCTCATGTATCAGCAATGTGTTTCAGCTCCCGAAAAATCTCATGTACCAGCAATGCGTTTCAGTTCTCGAAAAATCTCATGTACCAGCAAAGCGTTTCAGCTCCCGAAAAATCTCATGTACCAGCAATGTGTTTCAGCTCCCGAAAAATCTCATGTACCAGCAATGCGTTTCAGCTCCCGAAAAATCTCATGTACCAGCAATGTGTTTCAGCTCCCGAAAAATCTCATGTACCAGCAATGTGTTTTAGCTCCCGAAAAATCTCATGTACCAGCAATGCGTTTCAGCTCCCGAAAAACTCATGTACCAGCAATGTGTTTCAGCTCCCGAAAAATCTAATGTACCAGCAATGTGTTTCACCTCTCGAAAAATCTCATGTACCAGCAATGTGTTTCAGCTCCCGAAAAATCTCATGTACCAGCAATGTGTTTCAGCTCCCGAAAAATCTCATGTACCAGCAATGTGTTTCAGCTCCCGAAAAATCTCATGTACCAGCAATGTGTTTCACCTCCCGAAAAATCTCATGTACCAGCAATGTGTTTCACCTCCCGAAAAATCTCATGTACCAGCAATGTGTTTCAGCTCCCGAAAAATCTCATGTACCAGCAATGTGTTTCAGCTCCCGAAAAATCTCATGTACCAGCAATGTGTTTCAGCTCCCGAAAAATCTCATGTACCAGCAATGTGTTTCAGCTCCCGAAAAATCTCATGTACCAGCAATGTGTTTCACCTCCCGAAAAATCTCATGTACCAGCAATGTGTTTCACCTCCCGAAAAATCTCATGTACCAGCAATGTGTTTCAGCTCCCGAAAAATCTCATGTACCAGCAATGTGTTTCAGCTCCCGAAAAATCTCATGTACCAGCAATGTGTTTTAGCTCCCGAAAAATCTAATGTACCAGCAATGTGTTTCAGCTCCCGAAAAATCTCATGTATCAGCAATGTGTTTCAGCTCCCGAAAAATCTCATGTACCAGCAATGCGTTTCAGTTCTCGAAAAATCTCATGTACCAGCAAAGCGTTTCAGCTCCCGAAAAATCTCATGTACCAGCAATGTGTTTCAGCTC